TCATGCTTCCAGCTTGGCTGCTAAGGTTTCAAATCGATTTGGCAGAGATGAAGCACGACTTGGGCCTGAGTGATTTTGATTCTGCACAAACAGTGCACGATGCATGTAGGGCAGGCATCTCTACATGGACTGGCACCGATGCGCCTTGACTCCCACAAACGTGTAACTTTGAATGGGGCTTGCCATGTTTTGCGACAAGCCAAGTCCAGTTTTTCAAATCCACTAGGTTATTTTGAGCCGGTGGTTTGCATGGGATTCTGGCTGGCAAAGTATCGCACCATACTGGACCTTCATCAAGAAGGTGCATGCTTTCCGGAAAATTCTGGAGGGCTCTTTGCCTATGGACGCATGGCTTAGAATTCAACAGGTGCTGCTGTATTATTCAGCAGGCTGCACCACCTGGGGAAAGCAACTAAAACCCTACTTCTGGGCCGGCTAAATGAGTCACAGAATGTCTCTTAGACCCAAACTACTTTGCTTCTAAGGCTGATGATGCTGGCAATGTTCCAGACCAAAGTCTACAACAAGCTGCGGGAGCTGTGGAGTGTCAGGAACATGATCCGCAGAAGATTGTCAAGGTCTTGTTGTCCGTCAAGGGGTACATGGATGTGGCCTTTGATGTTCTCCGGGACATGTCCATTCGCACTTTTGGCCATATGTGCCCAAGCAGATTGGAACTTTTAAACCTTGTTGAATGTTTAAAAGTTTTTTCCAACCAACTGGCTCATTTTGTAGTTGTAACTTCTGACAAGGATCTATTGGTATCGCAGACCTCTCTATCACGACCACCTGAGAATCATTGAGGCAACGCAGTCTCAACAGATGAATCGGGAACTCCAAGCATTTTGGGCCTGGCGTGGATGGCTCGAAACTGTTGCGGAGACTTTGGGTTTGCTTGGAAGTGATCGGCCTTTGCAGAGTCTCAGGCTGAATGTTTCAGTTGAGGATACCATCCAGCAGCAGGAGCACGCTGACTTGTTCTACCGTCTCACTCTTCGCTCTGCTTCCAAACGGGCTTGGTCGATGTCGATTTATGACGTTGCTCCGTACAACTGGGCGATGTTGCTCACTGATTCTGGCTTCGAGGACGTTGCCAAAGGGCTGGAAAAACTGAAAGGCGACTGCCTCATCGTGAAGAAGGCTTTGCGCCTGAAAGGGGACCCAGATTGCCAACACAGACAGGCTCGGAATGTTGGTCAAATTCAAGGAAGTCATTTTTCCCCAACGGAATAAGCTAATGGGGTCTTCAGCCCAGAATAGCTCCGGTGTGCACTGATGCAGGCGCCGGGTCAGGTTCACCGAGGTTCCGCAGAAGGTTCTGCAGGTTCCGGAGAAGGTCTGGGAGGCTTTGGTGCAGAGCCAGGTCACGTTCAACAGGGTTCCGGAGAAGGTTCCGGAGACGGTCTGGGAGGCTTCGGTGCAGAGCCAGGTCAGGTCCAACAGGGTTGCGGAGAAGGTTTCGGAGAAGGTGTGGGAGGCTTTGGTGCAGAGCCAGGTTAGGTTCAACAGGGTTCTGGAGAAGGTTTCGGAGAAGGTTCTGGAGAAGGTTCCGGAGAAGGTTCCGGGAGGCTTTGGTGCAGAGCCAGGTCAGGTTCAACAGGGTTCCGGAGAAGGTTCCGGAGAAGGTGTGGGAGGCTTTGGTCCAGAGCCAGGTCAGGTTCAACAGGATTTGCGGCCATTTGAATGACAGAAACCCAGCTGAGGTGTTTCCAGCCCTTGGCTTCGCAGCACGCTTCAGGAAGATTTGTAAAAATGAAAAGTTGTGGCTGTTGGGGATACCACCAAAGCTTTTTTCCCCAGCTTTGAGAAACCATAGGGCCTTTATCAAGCACACGCTGAATTTTCCTTCTATGGAGCCCTGAAGGACATCGAACAAACCCTGAAAGAATTGTGGCTTCACAAGCAGCTGCTAGTTCAGGACAGAAGTTGCTGGAAAAAACAGCTATTTTTTGACCTTTCCCCTGTCTTTGTAACCCTGATGTATTTTCAGCTCAGCCCAGGAGTTTTGGACCCATATGGAGCAGTACGGGTGGGATCTGGACATAGCTTTTCCTCACATCTTTCGGCTGTTCAGCACGATGGTTTCAACGAAGGAGGTGCTTGAAGACCTGTTTGGCTACTTGTCACAAAGGAACAAGACCGACGTCAGTGGCTCTACACGTATGTCTGTAGAACGGGCTTTTTTCTTGGCCACAATGAACCCTCGTTGGAAAACCGATGCTTGGCCAGCCGCTCAGATTCAGGAAGGAGATCTGCAGAGCACAAAAGCCACCAATTTTCTCCGTGGGCGGCAAGTGTACTTGCCTTCGTCGAAGCATCAAGCGAGTGAAACCAAAAGCGAGCTGAAGCAGATTATTGACTCAGGACCGAAATTCCCAAATGCTGAAGTTTTCCTTGTTTTCCAATAGAACCTTTTGCAAAGCAAGCCTTTTGATTTTTGGGTTGCCTTTTCGTTGGCCAGTTGTTGCGGCCTAGGCAGGAAAAAGATGCCTGGAATGCAGCTCAACCCACCTGCATTGAGACCAGCTGGTCACCTTAGCGACTTTCGCATGGTTGCAGCCATGATGAGTTTGCGCAATTTGGAAGGGCAAGATTTCAAAGACATCGGGGCTGCTTGGTTGGGAGAACTTTTTGAAGAAGGTCACCTGTATCGCAGTGGGATCACAGGCCTCCCCGCGGTTTGCTTGGGCTTTCACTACAAGGTTGCTTTCATGTGGGAGGTCCAGGAGATTGAACAAGGGTTCTTCAAACTTGCAGAGAGCGGAGACTTTGGAACCTATTCCATGACTGACATCAAAAACAATTTCGACAGCGTGTGCTTGACGCAGATCGAGAAAAAGGAGGCAGAAGGAGATGGTGCTTGGATGGCAGTCCCCACTCAGGTTTGCCGCTTGTCCGAGTTATTCCAAATTAGATTTCTTTTTCGCCGGCAAAAAATGACCGGGCTGCATCAACAATGATCATCAGATCGACACACGTTTATTTGACACGGCTCAAGTTTCTAAGTGTGCAGATGAAGTTCGGATAACACAGGCGTAGGTTCACATGTTCAAGGGCCCTTCATCTCAGGTTTGCCCCGTGACTTTCCTCCCGGATTGGCGGAGAAGGGCCTCTTGCTCAAGAGAACTCATGATGAAACAAGCCTAGTCTCGTACAGGTTGCAGTTTGGTGAGCCATTGTCAATGCAGTTTGTCTCCAAGCTGTGCTTCGCATTGGGCTTGGAAGTGAAACCTGGTGATGGGGAGAAAGTCGCAAGCAACAAATCGAAAATGATCCTTGGTTCCCAGCGTTGATTTGATCGTATTTTGGGTCGGGGGTTTTGAACCTGCGACTCATTTTTTTGAACTCCAACCAAGTCTAGCTACATGGTTTTTGTAAGCCAATGAACGGATGCTGATGCCAAGGACCTGTCTCGTTGGTCACTTTTGCCCTCATCTCAGTGATCAGCAACGGCAAGACATCATCAACAAGTGGCTCAAGGGCAAGGGCAGCACGAATGCCAGCAAGGCTCCGGGTTGCCTCCACTCGGTTCTCAAAGTTTTGGAAACTGAAGAAGACTTCAACAAATTTGTGGATATGAAGACTCGTTTGGATGATGAGCAACGAACTAAGCTCATCGTTGAAAGGGAAGGTTTCCACCGCTCGAAAGCCAGACAAATGACTCCCAAGCTGATCAAAATGCTGGCGCCACCAGGTCCCAAGAGCTACATCAGCATGCAGACGAGCTTGAAAAGATTCAATGGATTCTATTTCAAGCCAGGGGCTTCTTCTTCTTCTCGTGCCAGGCCAGTCGGATCAACCAAGAAAGGGAGGCTGAGAGACTTGCACTCGACTGCCAGAACTTGGGGTGACAAGTGGACGCAAGAACAAGCTTTGAATTTAGTTGTTGGGCAGCTATGGTCGTGGCACAGGAAGTACGGCAATGACTCTTGCTGCTGTTCTTCATGATGTTTTTCAATTTACCTCCCCCTACCTAGCTTGCTGCCTTTACAATTTGAAAATTTATGTGAATTTGCCCCGCTTGAATTGCCAGAGCTAAAGGTTTTTTCCTTGACACTTTACTTGCAACAAGGACATTTCCGAGAAACCATCGAAAAAGACGATCTCTGAGACCCTACAGAGAGTGTTGGAGGGTGAAGTTGATCCTGGCACTGATGTGGAGTCTGATGAAGACATGGATGACGCCGCTTTGGGTGTGGACGCTGACGGTCTTCAAGAAGGAGACGAGGAGGAAGCTCCTGCCATGGATTCTGATTCCTCGAGCTCATCAAGCAGCACCAGCAGTCCCAAGAGGAAACCAGCCAAGCGAAGAGTGCCGCAGCAACAAGGAAAGAGGGCTGCTGCCGAAACGCAGCCGAAACCAGAAGAGCCTGCTCCAAAGAAACACAAGCTGCTGGACACCAGCAATGTCAAGAGCGCTTTGCCTGCGCATGTACAGCAGACGATGGCTAATTTGGCTATCGCCAAGGCAGAACCAAAGGCAAAACCCAAGTCCGCTGACAAGAAGGAAAAGAAACGGGAGAAGAAAGTGGAAAAAAAAGTTTCAAAGAAGAAATGAACCGCTGAACAGCAAAGCTGCCACATGCACGGAGGAAAAAAAAGGATTCGCGTTCTGGCTTGTTGCTGGGCGGCTTCACAAACATATGAACGAGCTGCAATGTGAGAACGCAGCCTTATTTTCAATGTTTCGTGCCTCAATTGCATTATAATATACATCTTATATAGGACTAAGTAAGCTTTATATAGCATTATATAAGCCTTATATAAGAAGGGTTGTAGGGAGGAATCTCAGGGTGGAATTGGGAAACCTCCTGATACATACATACATACATACATACATACATACATACATATATATATTTTCATTTGGCCTTTTGTGATGGCGATTTGCTGCGAAATTTGTAATTTATCGTCCGATTGGGCAGTATTGAGTGGTAAGTCGTCAGCCTATCTATAGAAGACGCCTCGTGTTTCGCAGTCTCAGACATAATTCTGCAGAGGCTACTTGCCCTTGGCAGACATCAAAGCCATGCTCCGCAGTGACGCGTATCTCAGTTGCAAAGGGGCATTCAAAAGCAGCAAGCGCATGTCTCTTTTCTTTATTTGCAGCTGCCTGCAGATGGCAAGTTTCTGCAAAGCTTGTTGCGTTCCTCTGGTAAGGTTTGAACGGACAGATTCAGCAGCTTAGCCTGCAAAAAGCATCAAAAAGCTACTTCCTACACTGCCCAGTTTTTCTGTGGTCTGAACCAAGGGAGAGATCAACGTCCTTTTGCACAAACTGATAGTGAAGGAGATAGACAAACTGCAGACGAAACGAACGGGTGGGTTTCAGCTGTACTGTCTATTCTTGACTCATTTGGGCTCAGAAGAGCCTGCCAGAGCCTGTCTAAAGCGGGGGCAAGACCATTTCAATCGACCATGCTCCTAATCCTAATAATCCTGTTTTCATGCTTTTGCTACTTTCTTCCAACTTCATGCTTGAACAATCCAATCATTGACAGGACGGCATGGTGAGCCTTGCCGAATTCCAGCGGGTTGTGCTTGAGGACATGCTAGCTGCCACTCTTGCTAGTCAAGTTGAAAGGCGGAAAGAAGAGCAAGAGCCTCTCAGCCGGCTGGCTAGATTGAATAGTGGTGATTTCTCACAGCATATGGGGTCAAGAAGGCCATGCTAGTCAAAGAGACAAGAATCAAGAAGCAGCCTTTGGGCGTGTCAAAGCTCCGGACGGGGAAGAAACATGAAGAAACAAACTAGACCTAGGTCCTAGCTACAGGATCCCGTTGCACGCAAGGTGTTTCAAGATTCCGTCCATCTCACTCACACAATCTCAGTGCAACTTTCTGGAAGGTTTTGAGACAACCTTCCCTGGTTTTGCTTTGGTGCGATGGTTTGGTTTGCGAAAAGATCCTCCACATTCCTAGGCCCTAGGCCATGGAGTCCTAGATAGTGCCCCACGCTCCTCCAGATTTTTTGACAATGTTTGAGTCTAGCTTGCCAAAAGAAACGTAGCGTATCAGTTCCCAGGCATCGTCTAATCTACCAAGATAAGCTAAACTAGCATGATGGAGGTTTTTTTAAAAAAAACATGTTTCTTGATCTTTGTCAGAGGCCAAGTGTAGCTCTTTCATGGACCCCAGCCTAGCAAATGCAGCTATCGCAGAGTTGGAACTCGACGCTTCTGCTGCATTGTGGGACTATATCCTCAGAATTAGAAAGGCTTGGGATGTTAATGTTATTGACAGGAACGCCTAGAAGTGCCGTGCTGTTTGCCAAAAAGGCTTTGAAGGAAACCAACTCGTGAACTTCATAGAAGATTCCTGTGCATGGCACTCATGCAAGGGAAAGCACGTGCAGTCAAGGGATAGAGCGGAGAGGCCTAATGTAAATGGATTTCACACTCCACCACCTACTGGTATCGCTTTGAGACAAAACACTCACAGTATCAAGGCAAGATCGCAGATGTTAAAAAAACGTCAGGACTTTGCAGGTCGGTTTTTGTTTCCTGTGAAGGATGGACGCATCATGCCCAAGAATTTGGCAGAGCAAGGGCGGAAACCAAGAAGGCCCACAGTGGATATGAAGTCTTGTCAAACAGTCCAACGGATCCAACGGGTGAATTTGCTCTACTGCTTTTGATCGTGAAATGGGAGGCGGAAAGAGTCTGGACCTACTTGCTTTTGGACAGATGTATCTTGGCGCAGCCGGAAAAATCCCTTCTCATAGTCATAGTCATGATGCCGCGTATTGATTGATCAGTGTCTTTCTATGTCAACGCACATGCGGCAAGCACAACATATCATATGTTTGGCCTTGCTGTGGGATACTGTTTGTCCTATAAGCTGATGCTTTGCGTTCTTATTTTGGAACGCGCATTTGCCATCATTGGCTGTGTGATGCTTGTCATTCAGCATGTGTTTCTTTTCGATGTCCTTATTCGTCACCATAGCACAGAAAACAGATGTGGAAACGCCGTATTGGACAAAACAGCTTAGCTTTCCTCCCGCTTAGTCGCACAATCTTTGTTTCACGCCGTAGTCTTTCAACTTTCAACGCAGAAACAGCTGAGCTTTGGTATTAGGAGGGTTGGGCTTCCAGTCTGCAAATGCATTGGCCTGTGTGGTGTTTGCAAGAACGAACTCGCAGTGGCAAGACTCTGAGGCTTTCTCTGAAGCGACTTTGAGCTCTGATGATTCCTCTTCTGACGGGGAGTCGTGACAAACCATGACAAACAAATCTGACAGCAATGGCTGCGGGTGGGCAATGTGCAGGATGAGTGTCTCTAGTGCCGCAAGGCCAAAGAGGAACATTGACTCCAACCCCCTGGGGTTCTCATCTGAAATGTTTAAACAAATTCTCGACCTTCTGGTGGTCAATCACTTCCAGCATCAATTGATACCGATACGCGATTGCGTTGCATTTCTGCAGAAGCAGTGAAAATGACGCCCTTTACAGCGATGATTTATGATGAGATTTGTATTCGCATTCTCCACCTGAACCGCAGCATCCTATCAACTGCCACAGGCTCTGTCTTTCTCATAGGTTCACTTTAGTCAAACAATCCGGCCAAGTCAGTCAAGCAAACAAAATCCCATAAAGACACACAGACACAGACAGACACAGATACACACAGACAGAGATACGCTTTTATTCAAGGAGCTGGCAGGATGCTGAAGGAGGCTGAAGGAGGCTGAAGGAGCTTCATGGCTTCACCGTTGAGAATGTTACCAGCTGAGATCACGTACTCGGTCTACTTTCCTAGCTGTCTCATGCCGAATGTGCGCGCCGTGGGTCCAGGTGCCATAAACGCCCAAGTGTGTATAGTATGATACTGATACTGTATAATTTCATCTTTATTTGCTGGATGCTAATGAGCTTTGTGGATGATAGGAATCTTTACATGTCTGACTCTTTTCATATTGTATTTTGGAGCTGGGTGATACGAAGGCGCAAAGATCGAGGATCTTCCGCTTCTAAATGCGCACAGCCCTCAGATTCTTGGAGACCTTGGGGAGCAGACAAGTCAGAATCCTTCACATGTCAAATATATTCAAATATCATGATAGTTCCAGCTGTGTAACAGGCCTGAATTCGAGGAGGAGGAGGAGGAGAAGCTGGAGAAGCCAGATGGATTTGAAAGTCCGCGTGGAGCTCAGCTACTCCCAACTCGAGCACCACACGTAGTGCACATGCTCTCCCTGGTGGCTTATATACTGATTCTAAAATCACCCCGAATGCAAAATGGAAAGGCTGGCGACCGCTGCTCTTATACCGTCATACCACAGCTGTTTGTGAAGTCCGGTTGAGTTAGGAAACACCTCGTTTGCTCTGTACTGTCGCAAAGAGGCCCAGCAGTGGCAGCAGCGTCAGGCTCAGCCCGACAGCAAGCCAGCTCAAGGTGGAAATGTGAAAATATCATTCGTCAATATGGTTGGTCTTCCTATGCACTCCTTTTCAAGATCAGGCTTCAGGAAATGGCAAGGACCTATCCTACTTCCCATCAGCTTTTGCAGCAAGGCATTTGTTTTGATGGCTTGCGACTTGCAGAGCTGATATCTAGCTCGAACCAGTTAGACACCTCGTAGATAGCTTGGAAGACACGCGCAACCTCGAAGGCCAGTTCAGTGCTGCTACTGGACATCAGATAATTGTAGGTTTTGGGCCATTTTTTTGTGCGATACCTTATCGTATGGATTTAAAGTTGCCGCATTTGCATGATTATGCATGCGTATGCACTGTGCACACACACACATTGGGGCAATACGCCGCTATTAGATGCAAAATGCGCAAAATGCTTGCGATTCGGAGATTGCCAGGATGGCGTCCTGGTGGAATGTGCTTCGCGAGGAGATCAATGGAACGATCGATGACTTCCGTGAAAAGGGCGCCTGGGGCGCGTTCAAAGATGCTACCCTTGATGCAGTCGACCTCGTTCAAGATGCAGGCTGGTTGATATGTCAATGTCAGATGCTTGGTGTTGAAGGGATGAAACGGATGCAGTCATTTCGCCACATTCAGCACGCATTTCCTCCGATCAGAGCCGTGCAACCACCAAACTACGCGACTATGTGACATGGACAATGAACATAATGAACAGGCATCGTTTTGTCAATTTGAATTTGTTCAAACACCGGATGCTTGCACTTAGACAGGGAGTTTGTTGTAAAGATTATCGTGAATAGAATCAAGGTGTTCTTAGCGACTGAGCTGAGCGCAAAGGCTGGCACCAAGCCGCGCCCCGCAGGCAGCATGGTCGTGGATGGCACTGCCCAGCTGCTGCACCTTGAGCGACCCACGCTGCGGCGGCACCCGGGGGCACCGTTGCCTGAGATGGGCGACGAGGCGGAGCAAATAAGAGGAAAGTAGGACTAAGAATTTATATATATATATAATATTATGTCATGTATAACATATAAATTCTTTCATATTCCATGATATATATATATGTATATGTAAAAAAATATATATACAGTATAGCAAAGTCACACGGTGAAGCTTTGACGCAAATTTGTGCAGTTTCTCCGGGTCTTTGGGGCCTCGCTGTGCACGTCCAAAGTTTGAAATTATCCAGAGTCATCCAAAGCGTGCAGACTCTTTTCACATTTTTTCACATTTTGTTATTTTTGATCTTTTGTTCTTTTGATCGCTTTTCCTTCTGCGGGCAATCCTCGGAGGTGCCGATTTCTTTGTCCAATGGCTACTCGGCAAAAACTCGCAGTGTTCATCGTAGTTGCACACCTATGGCATAGTTTCGATTGTGGATGTTGCAGTGATTTGGGTGCTTGTGCGCTTGTGTAGATTGTTTGACTCAGCCACCGTCATGGATGGTTGATAAATTTCATGCGTGTAAAATGCATTGGCACACGCTTTAATAATAGTAATAATGCTAATTGATATAATATAGTGGAAAGAAGTCTTGCCTACTTGACACTTGTTCAAGGAGAAAACCAAACGAAACCCAAGGAAAACCAAACTCCAGAACGTGTTCAGTGTTTCATTCCTCATTCATAAAAGCTTTTCTGATCTAAGCTGCGTTACCTATATAATCAGGTCAGCCGCCGGTGAGGGCGAAGGTCTATGGCGTTGACGGCATTTCAGATCCACCGAGGGTCCGAGTCATGCGAGCCTTGGAGATGTGACATCGAAATCCATGCAGTGTGACTTTGAAAAACATTCATTGACAGATTCAGATTGAGTGACATCGATCCATATGAGGTCAGCGCTTTCTGAAATAGGGAGGGGTAGAAGCATTTCTCAAAATCGATCTTGACACTTTTTTTTGGGGGGTTTGCTGGTGACAAGAGTTCGCCAGGAATGGATACTGGAGAGGAAGTCCTGGTAGACGTTGTGGATGACGATGGCAGTCCAAAACGACAGCCAATGTCGTGGGTCGTTGAGGAAATCGGTCGTGCAGTGGGAGAAGTTCGAGAGAAAGGCTGCATGGCAGTCAAGAGTCTTCTTCTTTGTGCATCTTTGTGACGTTGGAAGGAAAGCTACTGTATCCTTTGTGTTGCATTTTTCTTCTGTGTGAATCCATGTGAATCCCCATGAAGCTGTCTATGCATTGTGCGCTTCACTTGGGTAGGCGCGGGAGTGTTGAAGGATGGGGTCCTGGACACCGTGGACATTGTCAAGGATATCAGAGCCGAACTGCAAATTGTTTAGCTGGGAGTTTCAGCCGTGGGAGACCCTTTGAATCCATGAATCGGATTAGACAGAGTCTACCTTGCGTTTGTTGCGGTGTTTTTGGATGAAAGTGGAACTCGCCAGATATTTTCGTCATTAGTCCAAGCTGTCCAAGCTGAGTCTTTGAGTTGTTACAATTGTTATGTCCAGGAGGGAACCTGCGTTGCGCTCAATGGCGCCCAGCAGCTGGGACGGCAAACCCTCTCAGCGTTGGGCGACGCAAAGGTACCGCACGCAGAGCCGTTGGAGCCTTGCAACCCCTCCCTGGAGCAAATGCTCCTTGGAAATAAATTGGAATTGAAATACTTATAATATATATATATATTATATATTATATATATATAATATATATAATATATATAATATATAATATATATATATATATAAAATAATATATATATAATAATAATATATATAATATATATATATATAATATATATATATAATATAATACAATATATATATATTATAATATATATATATATTATAATATATATATAATATATATATAATATATAATATATAATATATATATAATATATAATATATATAATATATAATATATATAACATATATATAATATATAATATATAATATATAATATATATATAATATAATAATATATATATATATAATATATATATATAATATAATATAAATATAATAATATATATATATATAATATATTATTATAATATATATATAATTGGAAATCCGAAATCGGAAATCGTTTTGACGCCCATGATTCCCATGGGAAGTAGTACGAAATACGGGAAGCAGTTAAGTAGTATGGCAGTATTGGTTGTAGACATCCCTCTATCATCACATATCATCGCATATCATGGCTATCCTTCTGTCATCAGCAAGATCGGAAAGGGGTGCTCTTTCAGCTGCCGCTGTACTTCTGATAGTCCAGGTATGTCCAGATCACATCGGTTTGTGCTCTGTGCTGTGCGATGCGTTGCGTCCAGCTTTCCTGGAGTCCTTTCACACTGAGGTACGGAGACGACAGTGGTGGCTACAAGAAGCCCAATCTGAAGCTCCCAACCGCCACGCCGGCTGAGCCAACGCCTATTCTTTTGTCTCCCCGTGACTCGGAACCAGAGAAAAAACAGGAAGCGAGCTGGTACGATGATGAGGTCATTGACTGACCTTGGTGAGCCAAAGTTTCACACTGACATCCGAAGGATCCCAAAATAGATGCGCAACCCATGTAGGTGTGATCGTTCACGGGCCATAGTTGAATTGGCAAGCCTTTGGATTTGAGAAACTCATGTCAATGCTTGCGTGCCTGCACGCTGATCCTGACTTTTGCCAATTATATCCGCTGATCCATGCAATAGCCACATGCTGACTCTACGCCGGGGTGGGTAAACTACGATATGGAACGAAAGCGGCTTTGCACAAACAAGACCCCACAAGCTTTGCCACACTTTTTTGTGCTGCTCACCCCAGTTGGAGTATTGCATTTGGTGCATGGAATTTTCGGGACCCTGCCGCGAAGTCCTGGCCGAAAGCCTAACCACCCAGGGACTCCACCGTCCGTATGTTAGAAGCCAATATTGCACATTGTGCCTTTTCCACGGAATCATTCATAATTATTCAAAATTCTTCAACATTTCTTTTTTTTTTTTTAAGGCAGATGCGATCATCATTCATGACACTGCAATTTTGTTGATTGTGCGCAAGCGGATGCCAACCACTAGCAGGTGAAAGCTGCACCATTCTGCTTGAGGTTCTGGACATAGATCTGGTATGAAGTTCTTACATACTCGTAGTCGCTACATGCTGGGAGTTTGCGTGCAGTGTCGAGCCCCATTGGTTAAATGTTCTGCCATCACTGACCCTTCGATTGACCGCTTGTGCGTCAAGCACAGAGGGCACGCTGGAAATGTAGGCGTGCCAACGTAGGGTGGCAAGTGGTGCACTGGAAGCTGGCCAATGCGAACGCTGACTTCAAAGCCAACAGACACATGGCTAGCAACATGACACATAACCGTAGCCTATAGCAGATATATGCAAACATAGACAGATAATTACAGATATATGAAATACTATAGCTGACAGGGCTGTGCTGGAGCCATCAATATGGTGGAGGTATCAATGGAGAAATTGACGGAGACATTGTAAGGAGAGCCTCCGTTTTGAGACGGCAGAGTCTTCCAGTGTTTGGAGCAGCTGTTGTATCTTCGTCCAAAGGCCCACTGTTCCACGGGCGGGACTCCTTTGCCTTGTTGAGCCTCAACGCATCGTCTGCTGATCGAGACGAGGGAATTGGATTGTGTCAATTTTGCGATATGGTTAGACTCGATTAGACTTGTGCTTAATGTACACTCAGTTGCCAATGAGTTCTATGGTGCCTCGGCAAGGGAGTTCAGGACGAGACAAGCATGCACAGTGTGTGCCCATTGCTTTACATCGACACAGACAGCTGTGGGTACGTAGCAGCTGCCATCCATGCAAGTCCTGGAGAAGCACAGCGTTTGAATCAATTAAAAGGAGATATTACTCTACCTGACAGTATCTGACAGTATTTGACATGATTGCTGGGTGACTGTGGGAGGACTTCTTGTCAGGAGGGCCCTTTGTGGCCGCCTGGGTGTTGCGCCCTATTGAGAAGCCACAAGAATACAAACATGACAGCATGTAAGACAATGTAAGATGGTTTTAAGATCATTGGCGGCAGACTCTCGGGAGGATCTCAAAGGCATTTTCAATCATTTATCCAGCAATCGCGAACTCTGCTTCTCCCCTTTCCGTTTTGCAAACACTGGGGGCGGCGATTGTCCTTGATGAATCTTGACAGTTCCTTTGGAGTTTCTGAGGTTGGCACCCTCCTGATTCAGATGAGGATCCTGAGGAGGTGGGGTATCTTGGTATCTCTGGTTGTTTGGTAGCTATGGATAGCTATGGCATCTACGGTATGGGGGGCTGATTTTTCTTTCCTGGGATTGAAACAATCTACGGGTGAATGTTTTGAAACCAGGTGAATGATCCGTGTTCCTTTTTTCAGGGGCATGGTGGGAGAGGCCAGGAGAGCCATGTTTTTCCAGTTCACCTTGGGTCAGGTGCGAAGAAGACATGAGCCTGATGAGGAAGGGAAGTTTTGGGACGGAGCCTCAGGATAGGGCCCAGGAACAAATATTGGACCAGGTAGTACATGCCATGGAACAGCATGATCAGCATGCAGAACTCGCGTTGTCTTTCCGCAAAAATGCATGCAAATGCGGAGAATTCTTGCCATACTCCACGATGTCACCACTTTTATCACACTCTAAACAGCACATCTACAAAAGCTGCCTTGCTTGTACCCCATCGGCTTGCAGTGGCTTTTCCTATGAATGGAGCCCACAGATTCGGCTCAAAGTGTGATCGACCAAAAGCCACTGACATACACTTCAAGATGCAGGCCTGGCATGCGGTGAATCTCGTCACGGGGAAGTTTCTTCAATTCGGGCCAGCAAATCCTGAATCTACGTTTTCAACCGGGAAGACCCAATGGAAAGACGGAAGACGGACATGAAAAGATCTGACAAGACATGAAGAGATACGAAGAGTGTGGGCGTAGCATGTCGTAGCTGGCAGCCGGGGTTTGTTGCGTGCCTGTCACTGCCTGTCCTCCTGTCGCTTCTTTCGACATATTTGGACGCAGGCCCCTGTGGAGCATCGATGGAGCCCCTACGCCGACAATGGTGGCACTTGCTTGGGTGTGGCAGGTGGGGAAGCAAGCTGAAGCAATAGTTATCGGGTCGATGCGCACATCTTGTTGATCTTGTTGCGAGAGTCGTATGGGATTTTGATTCCATTCTCAACCAGTCAAGAAAGACATATGAAACTAGAATGACCCAGAGAAGACACAACAGACACAACACGTCAATTCAGTCAAGTCCGTGAGATCTGGAGACAGCGAGGCGAGAACTTCGTCGTGGTGGCAGCTGACACCCGTTTGAGCCAAGGGTACAGCATTCACACCCGCAACTGCAGCAAGGCAAGTGGGCATGAAAAGGATTGGTCAGGGGGATTGAAGCCTTCCATTTAGCTGAAGCAATGAAGAGCAGTGATAGTCAAGTGAATACGTTCGCTGTTTCTGTGGACAACTTTGCTCATGCTTTCACTCTTCAAGTCACTGGTGTACTTGTAAGTCGAAGGTCTGAGCCCCTGAGATCGTTTCACAAGGTTTGCCAACCCATGATTATTTTGTAATTATATATTCCATGTTTTTGCAGGTCACCCGCCTCACAGACAAGTGCGTGATTGCCTCCTGCGGCATGAAATCCGATGCCATTACTCTGCACAAGCACTTGAAGGCACGCTTGGTTTGAGACTCAGCACCGAAACCCTTTGGCTGAACGTGCGAGTTCCTGTGAGTCCCTATGAGTGCTTAGCCTCATTAGGCTTGTGAATCTAAGATGATCTAAGGTCATGTATGAACATCAGCACAGGCGACAGGCATCTGTGACTGCAATTGCGCAGATGCTCTCAACGACATTGTACTACAAGCGCTTCTTCCCGTACTACACATTCAATGTGCTCTGTGGCACGGCTGTGAAAGTGCCCGTGTGTTTGTTTTAAGTTAACTGATAGCAGCCACAGGCTTGGTTTGGAACATAACTTGCGACCCAACAAGCCAAGGCAAAAACAGCTATAGGATGCTATAGGACTTTAGACTTTGTGAAGAAGTGAGGAACTGTTTAAGCATGTCGGATGTGTTTAGAAGGGGGGCAGCCTCTTAGGTGGCGTTGATGACGAAGGCAAGGGAGCTGTGTATCACTATGACGCAATTGGAAGCTTTGAGCGAGTCCCCTACACGACCAGTGGCAGCGGTAGTGCTTTGGTCATGAGTGTCTTGGATGCGCAGATCGACAAGGAGAACCAAACGATTGACACACCGGCTTTGGATAAGGCTGGCATTGTGGAGCTTTGCAAGGATGTGCTTTCCTCCGTGGGAGAACGTGACATTTACACCGGCGACTCTGGTGAAATCTTCCTCATTGACGCAGCCGGCATCTCCAAGACTGAATTCGATCTCAAGTTGGACTGAGGCGTTTGGGCGATCATACAGAGTGCCGCAGATTGTAGTGCCTGTTCCTTGCAGAAATGTTGGGCTAAAGGTTAACAGTTAAATCACGTTAAATCACCTTGTAGGATATTGAGGCAATTGACTTTATGCGAGCCCACCGCAGGCTCATGACAATCCTATTCAGTTTGCAGGAGCAGGTGCTGTGCACTGCGATAGGTCACAAGGCACAAGGCGCATTTCCATAAGATCATTGGCAGCGCTTTCGAACAGAGCTCCGATGAAAGTACGGATCAACATGCAGCCATGCATCAATGGTTTCATCCATTCGGGGGATTGTTTGGATGTTGTCACGTTTGGAAACACTTACACACATAAAGATGCCCAGATGAATGCACAAACCCATATTAGCACTTTACGCACTATATACAGTATTTTAGATTAATATTTACATCTTATGTAGATTACATGTCATATTCTGTACATGTCTTTCTAAATGTCGATTCAAATAGGCTCCTGCTTACATCGTCAGGGACAGTTGCATTTGTGTATTGTTTTCGCATGCCGCATGTCTTTCGATATCAGCCCCTTCTCGAGCATCGGCCTAATGCATAAAGCCAACAGGTCTTGTGCTAATATTCAAATCATTCAATTGGCAGTTTGCTCACTCACACCTTGTTACACCTTGTTTCGCTCTGCTGATCTCTTCGCAGCCAAAGACACTGAGCAGAAAATCTTGCGTCATCTTGCATCACTGGTTCAAGGGTTGAGAGGCAATTGGACGAAAAGGCCATGACCAAAGCGAAAATGGCCTGGCAGTTCTCCGTGTCCACTGAGCTCATCCGAGCTCTCCACTGATGGGGAATGAAAGTGGGAAACTCTTTTGTAGTGAAAGTGGCGTTTGTCCAAAGGCGACTGTCCAGCATGGAGTTGAGAACGAGCTTCTGGATGAGGCATCAGCCTGTGATTCAGCCGGGGCTGTTTTTAGCGAAACCCTCGAGGAACTGAATGAAGTCGACCGGCTACTGCTGTTGTTCTCTGCAAGTCGAAATCTCGCAGGTGTGCGATGGCTGGTCAGGCTGGGTGCAAATCTTGAGGCTTGCGATACCAACGGCACCACTTGTCTTCACACAGCCTGCCGCAGTGGCTCTGTGGCCATTGCCCCGTGCTTCTGAATTTGGCAGATGTTTCATTTTCTCGAATGCTTGTCACTTCTTGAGCCAAATATGTTCAAATCGCCCAATGCTTTAAAGATCAGTTTTTTTTTGTTATTTTGCTCGTGCTTCTACGAGGTCACAGAACTGCTTGCGCAAAGAAAGCTGGCAATCGATGCGTGTGATGCTGCTGGCTGGACAGCTCTGCACGTTGCACTGTTTATGGGCAGGCGTCACATCAGCCCCTTGGCAGAGCCAAACTGTTTTCACTTCACAGGGTTTCATGGTTTCATGATGTTTGATGCTTTACACATGCAGTGACAGTGGTGTGCGTTTTTGTTTGCATAGGTCTGCCAGCCCCTTCACTCTCACATCCATCTCTGTCCATTGTTGGTATATAACAATAATACACTTACATCAGAATCACCCGACCTGTTTTTGTACAGAATATTGTATAAATTTGGTAGTGCTCCATGAGCGGAGCCAAAGCAAGATTTCGGGTTGAACAGGCGACAACGGCGACAACCCTCAGGTGTGATGCTGATGCAGCGCGGGGCGAACCCGACGATTTCCAACGGGCGTGGCCAAAAGGCTGTGGAACTGTGCAGCGACGTTTGGCTCCGCGAGGCCATCGGTAGCTACACTGAGCACTGGGAACGGCAAGGGCAAAAACGAGGCTGGACACCTCCTACGCCTCAGCCTGACGATGTGGAGGTGCCGAGACGAAATCAGACAGACATTGTCACATTGTATACATTGTATACATTGTATACATTGTATACATTGTATACATTGTATACATTGTATACATTGTATACATTGTATTGTCCTTCATTTGCCTTCATCGTTTTTCAATTTTTGAGTTTCTAGGCCTTGCAGCCAAGTGTCTCACCCACAGATAGAGTTGGGCATTTAGTGAATCTAGTGAATCCTCAGTGATCATGATGTAATGACTATGATATTCTGCAAACGTATGCAGCGCAATATAGCGCAATCAATGCTGCCCTGAAAGCCATTGCCTTTGACCTGCCTTCGTCTTGCTTGCATCCTCTCTGCAGGTATCCTCAAAGCTTCGCTTCGAGCCTTTCTTTGTGCCGCGGAATGCGATCATGAAGGAAGGAAAGGAAGGAGCCAGCGATTTGCAGAAGCTGAGCGAAGTCATTTTCAACCAAAGGCCAGGCCAAGGACTGGCATTTATTGTTGCGACGGGCTGCATCCGCGATTTCCCTGTGGAGCTCAGCACATTCTTGGGCCAACAAGGTGTGTCTTCAGCCCAAGTTGGGCAATTCTTGGGAGAAGACTTTGCTTTGTCCCAGACGTTGCGACTGGAATTCATCAACTCAGTGCGGCTAATAGGTACCGGCGTGGTGTCGTGCCTTGCCAAGGTTTTCAAAACGATTGTCATCCCGACTGAAATGGTCAAAATAGATCGTTTGGTAGATGGCATCGCCCAAATCTGGTGGAGGCAGCACGAGCAGCTTGTCAAGAAGGAGGCAGAAGAGCCTCCGCGTCAGAGGGATGAGGAGCCTGAAGTACATGGACTTCAGTTGATGAGATGTCTTGGCAACTATGATGTGTTGCATCAGCTGATGTTTGCCACCATCCTGTTGCACTGGAATTTGTAGCTCGGCCACTTACAAAAAAATATGGCCAAACCCGCCTCACCTGGTCGCACCGTATTTTTTCCATGCTTTCTCTGTTAGAGGTCTCTTGAGGATTAGGTGGATAAGATTGGGTTGGAGATGATAGAGTGCAGTTTGAGAGCTTGGATAATCGTGAATGGGATGGCCGTGCAAGTGAAGGGCCTGTAGAATATTGCCCAGGTATGCTCCTCTTCCTCCTTCGCAGCGAGTGACAGCTGAAGAATGGCTGGAGATTAGTTCAGGTATCCTCCCTGAAGAACAGGAGGGCGATGTGGACTTGAAGCAAGTCCAACTCCTGATCTACAAAGCGCTAGGCTTAGAGTCACACGTTCAAACCTGTTCAGCACAGCAACTTAACTTGGTGCATTACATAAATCTCCTTGTCCACATGTTCCCAGGCCACCAGCCACAACTTTTACCCCCAACTGGAGATTTGGAAGGCCCGATCTCCGAGTCCGATCCAGGCAAGATGCGAAGCGTAATTGTGCCAAATGTAAGCAGAATCCCATGCAGTAGGGCAGTTGGGAACCTGGAAGCCTGGAAACGATTGGAAACGTGATAAGCTCTGATAAACCATGTGAGTTCACTTCATAGATCTTCATAGTATGCACTCTTGGTCAGGCATTGCCACCGGATGCTTCGGCATGGGCACGTATCGTCGTTGGGTTTCCTTCGCTTGCTTTGGCAGGCGCTCAGAGGCGTGCCTCAGTTGGGGGGAAGGTTCGACGTAGATCAACTAGATGATCAACTAATGCCAACATATGTCAACTAGTGCACCTTTTCTATCCTTTTCTTGTGTGATTTTGGATGTCCTTGTTGGATTTGCTGGACGTTGACGCGCCAGGGTGGCCAACTACCGCCACTTGCGGAGCATCTTGAGCGAAAGCGCCGGTCCTCGGACTGGGCACTTGGCCAGTCCTTCGCCCAGCCGGGAAGGCGGGCGCAAGTGCAGCGAAGGCTGTAGAGCTTTCAAGCTCTCCACACATGACACACACACACACATAGTTATAATGTAGAATGTAGTTGTATAGTTACGTTACATAGATAAAAATAGAAATATACATATACATATATAGTTATATTTATATACAATTTATGGTTATACATACATACATGCATGCATGCATACATGCATGCATGCATGCATACATACATACATACATACATACATATTATGAAACTGGTGACGGAGGAAAACCTACCTAGGTTCACACCACAAGGCTTCGCTCCATTTCGTCCTCGAACCAGCGTGCCTGCAAGTCTCGGCGGATGCAGCACAACATGAAAGGTCGGTTGACCTGGCCAGATGAAGAGAGTCGGATGGCTCTGGTTGGGGATACTGCTTTCACACTCCCAAAACAAGAAAACAAAACAACAAAAAGGAAGCAAAAGCAAAAAACACACAAAAACAACCAAAAACACAAACACCACACAGCTCACCGGCTGTTCACAGCAGTTCTCCCTTCAGAGCTTATATGTTCCTTCAAAATTTGACTCCTCACACATCTGACTTACGCTCGCGTGGCACAGAGGTGCCTGGAAAACACTGCTCGGCGGAAAGTGCTGGCAACTTTGTTGCCTTCAAATACAAAGAAAAATCGTCGAAACGACCTCCACGAGAGGCACCATGTTCAGCCACCCATTTCAAATATGGCTGCTGATCAGGCATTCGGGTCAATTCCTCGTATGAGGCATTCAAACTTGCTACTCTCGGCAAACGGCAAATCGTTGTGCCCCAGTCGGCCAACGAAGAAACTCCAGGTGGAAAAGGGATCTTGGAATCCTTGGGCTTCATCACAATTGGATTCTGCTTGCCAGTAGTGGACAAACCTGACAAGTGATCCATAAACTCACCAGTGGAATCTTCGTAGCTGATGGCGTCCCACTCGTCGGTCTCGCGCAAACGCTTGCTACCATCATGCATTGATCCACCGCTCATTTCCACGGGAGGACCCTGACGCTCAAAGCGAGCGAGAATCTCGCGAGCCATCATTACCTCAGCGTCGGTCACTGGCTTCTCTGGCTTTTGAGACATTGCTCTTAAACCAAAAATTGACCAGTAGGGTCGAAGATCCAAACTTTGAAACTACGCTCGAGCAAAACTGTGTGCATCACCGTCCCTCGGTGATATGCAAACTTGGCATGCAGGCTACAAAACTAGGTCAAAACTGTACACATGATCGGAAGGCTTTCAAAACTGTGCATTGTCGGATGCAAAGGCGAAGGTTAGGCAAGTTACATTAGTAGTCCCCTTATTACTAAAGCTTATACCTACCTTTATCCCTCAAATTTTACATCCCATTTCAGAAATTCCATTGGCTTCAGCTCGCTGGTGTGCCTTCTGTTTGCGGTGCTCTTTCTCTGCCCTTTTTCTATCCAGGACTAACTGCTCGTCGGCAAGTTGATACTTTGCAGCACGAACCACTGATCTCAACAAATCAATTGGTTCAGACTTGTCCTTTGTCAAGCCGTCCGCAACCATGTGGCCCGTGGCACACCATCTTGGCTCCAGACCCGTGCGCTGGATTGACTGTCGAATCACAGCTATGTCAATTGCAGTTCTCTTGTCTTCCACAGTTCCACTGTTGGTGAGAGAAATTAAATGATCATAAAGAGAACGACAGTCACTAATCCCTATTGGCTTTCTACGAAGTAGGATGGACTCAACATCTTCCAAGGCAAAACTCCCATCCAAAGCTTCGCTAACCATAAGGGACACCCATTCGCACACTCCAGAAGCTGTTGCAAACGCTTGAGCTTCACCACTCAAAGTTGAAGAAACCACCCGAGGCAACTTGTATGACTTCCATGCAAAACAATACACTGGAACATCAACCCCTTTTGACATGCGGTTTGAAGTGAAAGCAACAACCCAGCCTCCTTGTGTTTTCAACTCCGTAGTGTTGGCGAAAGCTGCATCAGACCAAAAACATAGTGTCAGTTCATCAAGTGGAATGAAAGGTACAGTGATCTTGAAATCTGATTGTTGTCGTGCTCTTCTGACGGCTTGGTTTGCTTGAAGTAGATCATATACTGTTGGATTGGGAAAACATTGCTGACTCAGTGACGTTTGAACTGAAAGATCAGGTCTAGTTTGGGCGCTCAGCCATCCCAACGCTCCGTTTACTGCTCTCAGGGCTGAGATCTCCTTCTCTGTGGCGGCTAGCCAGGGTTTCTTTGAACGTTCCTTTGACACTGAAATTGGCCTGATGTTTTCAGCATATTCCTTTTGTGAATAGGTGATCTGAAAACTCATTGGACACTGATCATAGATTGTTCCTAAGAACTCCCCATTGCCAGTTCTCCACTTGCGGAAAGGAAATCGAGCTCTCAACTGTTCAACTGCTCGATCGTACTCAGGGCCATGGCCTCCTGTGATTGTGTCATCCACATGTGGGCCAAGAATTCCTTGTATCTTGCCATCAGGGCCATAACAGAAATATAAACAGGAGTCAAATTTGCTCTTGGTGAATCCAGAGTACTGAGCAACAGTGTCGAATTCCTGATACCACTCGTGACGAGCATCATTTGCCCCGTAGATGTTTCCCAGCACCTGCACTAGAGAACCATCCGGAATTCCGGGAACACCTCCAGGAGGCAGCTCAGCGTACACAGGGTTTTGGAGGGCTTTGTCTCTCACATTTGCTTCAAGAAAAGCTCCCTTGATGTCACCCAAATTCATTATCCATTTGTTTGATACCAACATCTGGAGAATCAAACCCCGTCCAAACTGTGATAATGTCGGAGAGTGACACTTCCCAGCAAGCACCTTTTGAACCAAATCGGGATCGTGATGACCTCGAAGACACCACCGTGATTTGATCTTTGATTCTCCGTCTTCATGTTTCTCCGTCACAACAAATCTGCTTGTCATGATCCGATCGGGTTTCTGTGCTCGAATACTCTTGGCTTGCCCTGGCAGGATTACCCTGATTGCTTCTTTCTCATCTCTTAAGGTGGACCACTCTACAACCTTAGATTCATCAACCTTTTCTTGAAGAGCTGGAGGATTGTTTGAGTGATGCAGTTCTTTGGCCATCTTTTTCTTGAGGAAGTTCGCAATCAAGACCTCCAGTGGTTGGGAGGAATTTTCGATCAGCATGCACAAGTCTACCGCATCTGTTATGGTGCACTTACTCGGTGGCTCTGCACTTGACTCTCTGGATTGGTTCCGCTTGGTGCCATGAGATTCTTCTAGGATTTCTCTCAAATCATCGGCCTGAGTTGCATGAGGTCTCAGCCACAACATCTCCGGACCCTTTTGATTCATCCTAAGTCTTACGGGACCATAGCTACTATTCCTATCTCCCAGATTGTTATCCCCCGGACTTATTGACGGATTGCTTGGAAAAGGCTCACTCCTAGGTCCTTCGGGCTGTCTGGGATCCGTGGACTCATTCACGGCAGGATTATTGGTTTCAGGGCTGCTTTCAGTACTAGGTGCACTCGAAGAGGAAGACACTGTGACCAAACCCCTTTCCTCGGGAGTCAAGGCATCTCGCACTTTTCGCACCTTGAACTGAGATTCTCCCGTCCATGGTGACTGTTGGATAACTACTCGCTGGGTTTGAGGTTCTGAGAAGATCTGATGTATGATTGGCTCCAGGGAGTCTTGCACATAGGTGGCTCTCCAATCTTCAAACTGAAAGTTCTTTACAACCGGATCATCTTGGTCAGGCATGAATGCTGTTGTACGTGCAGACTTATGGACACGGCACAGCAAATCCCCTCGTTGAACCCAATGGTCTTCCAGCAACTCCGGATGGGAAACTGCCTGTGGTTGAGATCGCACTTCCGGATTGCTTTGCTGAGTGAGATCTACAAATTGGTTTCCTAGAAACTTTTTCTGATTTGTGTTCACCAAGGCATCAATTCCTAGGAGCTCCCTGCCATCAGTTTGAGCGAGCATTCGCTCCTCAGTGGTCACATGTCTCAAGTGTTCTGGGGCTACTTTGAAAAGATTCTTACGGTGACTGATTAGAAAGTTCCTACCAATCTTTCCCATGACGATTGCGGTACCATACCAACGACCCCCTACCATTCGAACCCCCTTTTCATACTTCTGAGATCTCCAGTACGACACATAGTCTCCTGCTAGAAAATCTCGCTCTGCACGTGGTCTTGCTGCAAGTGCGGTTCGAAGGCTTATGTCGTCCTGAGATTGCACTAGTGCAATTCGAGCTTGAGTTCGGATCTCATGGGCACGAGCTGCATTCGCATCGTGAAGTGGAGAAGTGGCCGCTATGGGACATGGTGACTCCTGAACAAGGTCTGCAGGGACCCTTGGATTCCTGCCAAAAACCAATTGACATGGTGACATCCCTTTGTTGTTCAGAAGCTCATTTTTTGCATTCATGGTTTGGACAACACATTGTTCGTACTCTTCCTGATTTTTGGGTTGAACCTGATCCAACATTTTCACAAGAATTGTTTCGAATAGGTGTCCATGTTTTTCTACCTTCCCCAACTGATTGTGTGCCTCTGCAGCTGTGGTGACGATCCTAGCTCCATCAGTTTCTAACTGTGCGCAAACTGACTCGGCGGTGTTGGTTCGTGCCGGGTCAACCAAAACTTCAACCGGCACTCCTGCCCACTGCTGCCAACCCTTTAGATACAACTGCTTGATCAGCTCAGATGTCTCTTTCTCATAAAAGGGAAGCATGACCTGAAAACTTGATGCAAAATCCACAATATTCAAACACTTGATCTTCTGATTCAACTTCCAGCCTGGGAGATTCTTGACGTCCCAACCAATACGGTGATTGAAATCATGGAAATGGTTTGGTGCCGCAGGAAGGGCAGGTGTCGGTCTGACACGCTGCTGGCAAATGTCACAGCTGGCTTCTACGTGTTCTGCCAAGCGCAGTGCAGTCTCGGATGCGCCTGCATTCTTCAAAACCCTCTTGAGGCTTCTGGTGGACGGGTGTCCGAGATTGTTGTGTAGTTTCTTCAAACTGTTCTTCACTCTTGACACTCGTTCCTGACTCTCGGGTTCATCAGAAGGCGCACTTGCACTGGACACGGCAGCACAGCATTCAGCTACTCTCAGAGCCAGGGACTCTTCACTCGGTTCCTGCACGCATGAAAAATGGCAAAGTTGCATTTCCGGCTTAATACAGCTATACCAAGTTTTTACAAACCCATCAGTGTATCTAGCAGTCTTAGCACTGAGATTTTCACCATCACAACACTTACCCTCAATTGTTTTGTGGTGTTGATGTCCTGGACATGTCAAGGCAAGGGATTCCATGTCGGAGTGCGAAACTGCGAGACCGGTCATCTTCTTGATCGGCTGATCAGAGTCAGGGTCTGTGAGGCCATATGCACACATGTGAGCTTTGCATTTGGTCAAAAGTCCTTGATCCAGCATCTTTGCAATTGGAGGGTGATTCCACAAGTCACTGGTCCATGGGTGCTCGATCAGAACCCTGCCCCCCCGATGCAGCTGTTTGCGGACTTGTTGGGCGACGAAATCTGCTTGCTTCTCCGCCACCTTCTTGTT